TACCTAATTGTATGCAATTATAAACAAGCTGAAAACACTGTTGTTAAACTGGATTATGTGAAGCAGCAACAGTAGCAAACTTTGCGTGTTGACAAGTTTGAAAAGCTAATGCAATAGTTCATTGCTGACTGGTGTAATGTGCAACCACATGGCACCTTTCTAGTTTGAAATGTACGTTTGTGCCCCAAATAGCAAGTATGTTGATTTTCTGATCAGACGAACCCGTGATTGACATCATGAGCATCAATTTACGCTATTAAGATACACTTACATTTATCAACGAAATCAACTAACCTGACCATCGTTAGTCGTTTTTTACGACAAGCATGGGTTGCTGAAGATCAATTCTAACCCGGATTTTCAAGTGTTTTTACGATATATAGTTCATAGTATCAGTATTAATGTATAAGTTCCATTGGCGAATTCAATTTCATTTTCTCTCTAACATACATCGATACTTACTTTCTAAGGAATCAAAAACTTATCATAGCATGATTTGTCAAACAATTTCATACCCTGTATAATTGTAAAATGTGTTGAAAAACCTTAGATATCAAAAGAAATACACTTGCTGTGAAAACAAGATTTAGAGGCGATCGGTATGCAATATCAGCTGTTCTGATGATCGCACCAAAGCAGCAAAGATATCTTAAACGAAAACAAATAACTCAAAATTAAATATGTACAGTGAAAACAACGTTGTTGCGCAGTGGAATTGAAAACTAAACTAACTAAAATTGAAGTATCTATTTTGGGGACTAAACGTGACTCTCTTGGTTAAACTGATGAAATAATTCAAACAATACAAATGGGGAACTAAACGTGAATCTCTTGGTTAAACTGATGAAATAATTCAAACAATACAAATGGGGAACTAAACGTGACTCTCTTGGTTAAACTGATGAAATAATTCAAACAATACAAATGGGGAACTAAACGTGACTCTCTTGGTTAAACTGATGAAATAATTCAAACAATACAAATGGGGAACTAAACGTGAATCTCTTTCGACAAATGCTAATGGGGTAAGTAACTTAAAAGAAACCTTTAAATTCTATTATCTACACTATTCTGTCTAGCTCTGATCTATTGCAGCTTAAAGCCTATTATCTACGGTAGCTCTATTGCAGCTAACTATATTGCAGCTAAGTTCTATTTCGATGCACTAATACATTCTTTATAACAGTCTATCTAAATCCTATTTTGACGAGCTGTCACCCAACTCAAGAAACACCGTGTTCAGAACCGCGAGTGCAAGTGAAACCTGGTCCTGCGCCTGTGCCTGTTCGAGACAGCTGCCCTGCCAAGCGAACCACGATGGCGATCGTGTTTAATGTCATCTCGTCACCACTCGCCCCTTTCCGAACGCTATTTTGCGAAATAAAATGTATATTTCATCGAGTGGTCTCAAAGGATATGTTCACGAGTGGCGTATCCATTGACAACATTAACAAAATATTCTATTTATTATATTTTGATCATTGTTTATAAAATGATCGAGACATCGATTTCGTAGTTCGCGTTCCGTAGTTCAAGGCAAAAGTGATATTCTACTCAGTGAAAATGAAAATATTTCACCAATTTAAGAATATCACCCTAGGGCGGTAGGGCGGTAGCCTAATGGTTAAAGCGTTGGTCACGCCGAAGTGGTTCTGAATCCTCTACATGGGTACAATGTGTGAAGCCCATTTCTGGTGTCCCCCGCCGTGATGTTGCTGGAATATTGCTAAAAGCGGCGTAAAACCAAACTCAGTCAGTCAGTAAGAATATAATAAAAGAAGCTATTCGGCTTGTTCCGGAACAACACGAGTTGGTCACGAATGGTTTATTGTAACCAAGCGCTCGCGTCCGTTCAGGGCCGATGCGAACGCTCGCGGGAGGCAATCGCGCGGGCGCTCGCGGTTCTGAACACGCCTCTGAACTCAACTAAAGTCTAAACTCAAGTCAGACCTTAACCCAAGCAAAACCTCAACACAAGTGACCGATTTGATCGTTTTCCACGTGGTCAAGAGCACGTGGTCTGACCGCACGTGAAAAGTGCGTTTACGCGATCTGTTCCAACTATTTTGTCTCCTGACCACACGTCTTACCTACAACCTTAATCCCGGTGCCAGTGGGATCGTGTGGGGATTGCCCAAGGGGGAAGACATTAACACAAACCAGCGTATTCTATAAATGTCTCAAATAATGTATCCATGATTAAGAAGTAATCGCTTTCAGCATCGTGACAACTGTAACTTTTCTGTCAACAGGTGCACCGGTATGACCTATACACGGTGTTCTCTTCTGGTGTTCCAGCTATGCTGTCTGGGAGCCGTTGTGTCGGCGATGGTGAGAAAAGTCCAAAGAAACGATGTACTATTTAGTGTAAACGTTATTTACGATATTTAGTTCATATGATCAATATTACTTGTAGGTTGATCTGATATACAGATCCATAGTTTGCCTTCTGAGGCATCAACAACTTCTAAACTTATTAATTCTTCGAGAGCTTTGTTAAGGGACCAAATCTTTCATATTCTAGGATACGGGTAATAGTGCGAATAAAAGCATATGTTTTGGAAAACCTTAGTCAATAAAAATAATGCATGTGTTGTAAAAATATTTAACGATTTTTTGGCTCTGGAAACATAACAGATTAATTGAAGGTCGCCTATGGCTTTTCACTTTGCTGAAGAATAATCTTTTACATATCTTTAATGTACATACTTTAACTATTATCCTTCCCCCCATTAACCTCTAAACAACCTCAACTTGGTGTAACTGTGGGTATACATCGGGTATTACACCAAAAGTTCACATATCATCTTTCTGATGCAAAGTTAACCACCAACCTTCATTTCCAGTTACACAGCCAAGATGCCCTTTCAATTCAGACACCTATCGGCAGGCTTGAAATATCTCCTGAAGGCGTGAAAATCAACAAGTCCCCCTCTTCAACGCCAGCTCGTCCCGGACCCGCTTCCATGAGCCACGAACCAACCTATTACATCCAGAGAGACGGCAATACGATGATGAGGCGTGGGACACAAACCTCCAACCTCTCTGCCCCAGTACCAGGCGGCACGACCCAGGACAATGTCATTGAAACCAATGCGCTCCTACAGCACATGCCCATGGGTGTCGGTCTAGGGGAGATTAGTCCAGACATGACTGAAGCTCAGTATCAGGTTGCCTACCCCCACAACCCAATGGTTGCCGAGTCCCCCAAGGTTTTCAACAGTCCCAGACCCGACTTGTCAGTGGACCAGGTCATCAAGAGCACCTACCACCACAGAAGTAAGTGGTTCAGTAGTAAATGCCTTTGTTTCTTATGATTTGGTTTACAAATCAATCAAACCGGAAGCGGTAGTATTGAATTCCACATAATATAAATATTTTATTGACATCGACAGGTCGTGAGTCAGGACACCAAGAGAACCTTCATTAACAGAAGTATTTGTTAAGAATTAAAGCCTCTTTATTTCTACTTGGTTTACATATCCCTCAAATCTGAAAGAGCAGGGATGTGGATAAAAGTGAATTCCAATTAAAATGTTTTTGTAACATGTTTGCCATTTCTGGGTGAAAAATCTGCCCTAATGTTTCCTTAACTACCACCACCTCGGCACCTGTTCTCTGTTCTGAGTGTGGGGCGGTGGGGTGGCCTAGTGGTTAAAGTATTCGCCCGTCACGCGGAAGACCCGGGTTCTATTCCCCACATGGGTACAATATGTGGGAAGCCCATTTCTGGTGTGCCCGCCGTGATATTGCTGGAATATTACTGAAAGCGACGTAAAACTAAACTCACTCACTGTTGTGGCGTTGTTCGTGGCTATATTATTAAATACAGAATTTTCCACCAACCCATCTGTATAACAAAATGAACCCTCAACAGATGAGTTTTTCGCCAGTCAGAAATATTCCACAATAACCTGCAAACTAAATCGCGAAATATTAATTTGGGTGCATAACCTCTATCGCCCATGTATTGACCAGAAAAAGGACTGAAAACGATTCATTATTAAGGCGCACAGTGCGAAATGTCTTAGCTCGTTTTTGTTCAAGAAACTCTCAGATTATACAGTGTCTTTGTTGTCAACGCCGTGCTCGTGGGTTTCAAAAGCCTCTTTTACACGCACACATTTACTCCTGTAAGTATATTTACTTATGGAGTAAATTAACTTACAGGAGTAAAAGTATATTTACTTTCTGTTCACATGGATATTTAACCAACAGGAGTATATCTGATTTGCATACCACCAAGACTTCTGGTTTTGAAGAATTTTGGTCATTTAATCTTAAGACACAAAATGAGTAGTAGGCTGTTGATTTTAAAACGCACAGGAGATCTGCAGTATTCGTTAACTACAGGACTTGTCCTGGGTCTAACAAAGGACAAGAATGATTGGAAAAAGACCCGTTCAAAAACCTAGTGGACAGACATTGTGCAAGGCACCTTAGATGATGACCAGTGGGTAGAGAATTTTCGAATGACTAAAGAAACGTTTGCTGAACTGGGACCCTCATTAGTAAGGACTTGCAGCAGCGACCTGAATCAGTTCAATATCGGAACGTGTAAACCCCCTTGTCCTAACGATTTGAAGTAGCTTACGATGTGTCGAGACGATTTGAAACTCTTTACAACAGATCGTAGCATTTGAATCTGAGGTTGAGATAACGTTTGATGTGTCAATATGAAAATTAGAATTTCATACCCTATACAGATTGTGTCAAGCAAAGACTGAGGAGCGCATATGCTGCTTTACTTACTGCTTAACCACTTCAATTATGTTGTTTCCTTTGTCAATTACAGATCGTTGTTTACCATACACAGTATAAGGCACCCTTTATCATTGTATCAGTACAGGANTGGTAGATAACTTGTTTGAGTGGCATTTTAGAAGTTGAGACAGTGGTACTTGTTATGTTATGGCTATCATTGTCCTAGTAACATCTTCAACGCAATGGTGTAGTGGACACGGCATCTGTCTTGCACATCAAAGACCCGGGATTGACACCCCGGCTGGAACATCTGAGCGGTATCCATGAACAAGGTACCCCCGTCCACAATGTCCCAGTCCACCCAGCTGTAAATGGATACCCAAGAGACTGACAATGTGAGCCATTAGTTCTCTAAGCACCTAATACGCAGCGAGGCTGTATGGACCCTAAGGAGTTGATAAAGTATCGGAAGGTAAAAGGGTGTCCAATGACAGGGAAAGTAATGTACGTACCACCTTGTTCATGCATAAAGCAAGGATATGAAATATAAGCGACTACACGTACTGATGTGCGTAATTTTATGCATGACACTTGATAGATATGAATCATACTGGCTGACTGAGTTTAGTTTTACGCCGCTTTTAGCAATATTCCAGCAATATCACGGCGGGGGACACCAGAAATAGGCTTAACACATTGTGCCCATGTGGGGAATCGAACCCGGGTCTTCGGCGTGACGAGCCAACGCTTTAACCACTAGGCTACCCCACCGCCCCTATGAATCATAACCTCTTACGGCCCTTTTGAATTGTTTATAAACAACAGACTGTACAATCCGCATGGCTGTTACAAACTACATGTAGAAGAAATTACTAATCGCTCTATTTACAGGAAAGGAAAAGACAATTTGAACAATTGAGATAAAATGTCAAATCGTTAACTGAACTCCTGAAACTGACACTGCTGTCAAACTGACTTAATGCTAGGGTTACACCATGTTCCTGGTCGCCACGGCAGCCCCGTTTTGCCGAAACGTAGTGAAACGGGGACAAAACGGGATTGACGTGAGACAACGTAGGGAGACGTGCCAGGTTTTTCAAAAAAATGCCACGGCACTCACGGTACTAATGAGAAACCTAGTAGGCTGTAGTTAAACGGAGGGAACGCAACAAAACATGACAGCAAGTATGTATACTGTGTCTGAGCGGGGTATTCATGCTTAACTGTGGCATGGTATCTCAGTGAGCTAGCACTATAAAACCAGTTTAAGGCTGGGTTAGTACAAACGGCCACGCGTGCAAGTCGTCATATGAGCGAAATATTCTTATGTACAGTGATAAACGCCATTTCACCTCACCTGGGGCTTTCCTCACACATAAAGTTGCCAGATATACCAGAACTGCTCATCAACATCATGTCCCCTTACGTTTTAATATACCCGTTTTAATCAACCGTCACCAAGGCATGCCGTTTATTGAGTGCAGGTTGCTATGGTAACTGATCACTGCCTTCTCCTCCTCAGATCCACATCAACTCCATTACGACTCCAACAGCAGTGAGATACTCATGGAACTAGATATGAGAGTGACGTACGCCCAATACATGCACTACTACGAGAACCGAAGGTATGAGTTGTCTCCCTTCCCATACTGACATTTATGGGCATTGCCTGTGTGATAAAAATAACCCTGATCTCAGAGGACAGACGATCAGATATTATTTGAGACTGTAAATATTTCGAAAAAATATGTATATGTATATATATAGAGAGATTTATAGTTAAATAGATTTAGATAAAGTAAGGAAAAACTTTACTTTGCCTTAGAGTTTAGGACATATTTAAGAGTATTGTGAGTTGGGAAAACGACACCAGCTCCACAACGTATGTGTGTGTGCGTGTGTAACTGTGTGTGTGCAGCGCGGCCGTGTGTGTGAGAAAGAGAGGGAGACAACTGGCTGAGGAACTATTAAAGAACACTAGTTATTTCACCCGTATCCTCTTTTTATCCTTGAGAAACTGTCTATTGTTTACTTTACACGATCACCGCTTACACCATAATTGATTTTGTTCGTAAAATAAGAGTCAGCCGTCCTCAAACAGGTAATTAAGACACAGTCGCTTTATTTACCATCTCTTACCCGCAGGCTGGTTCCTAGACGTGGTAGACGAGTGAAGAGGAAAGCACTGAGATCCGAGTTTACCTACTGGCCAAACGGAATCATCCCCTTTACCATCGACGAAACATTCAGTACGTCAATATTTAAACCAACATTTAGACGTTACAGTTGAGATCTAATAGAAAAGAAGATACCCAAGTAGATATCAATAAGCTACACGCATTAAACCAACTGTAGGTTGCATCTACTTGGGCTGACAGTCCAGGCCATTATGCGATGATGTCATTCACACGTCAGTCTCTTTTGTTGTTAGAATGGATAAATTATTAAATGTATTGCATATTAGTAGAATGATTGAATAACTATTATTATTAGTGGCTGTACCTTCAAAGGGTGTTGAAGTAACGGAAAATAATTGACCTCCTGAGAGGGTACGTAAGTCCCATTTCACTGAAAGTATTTTTCATTCTCTGAATTGTAATAGTATTATATTTGTTCTTTTTAATGTATGGCTAGTTTGCTAAACAATCACTAAGGAGGGTATGATGCAAATCCAAGTAGAGTTCATGCAGATAGCAAAGGCACAGTAAGTACCCATGGTCCCTAGTATGGTGATCTACCTTCAGTTGTTTGCGATCTATAGCCCAATTTTATACTATATTGTCCTAATTTGAAATCCAATTTTAGAGAGAGATGCTGGTTTTATTTCTTGATGCTGTCATATATGTAGTTGGTTTTACTGCCCTTCGTTGACATTTTTTTATATATAAGTTACATGTATCTATGATGCACTTGAAACCTTTTTTAGTCACGACATGACTGAAATATTACCGATGTCACTGTAAATTTAACTCACTCACTCCCTTTTACTGCAAACAAGAAAGATGCATGCATGCATGCATGCATGCATACATACATACATACATACAGACACACACACACACTCAGCTCAAGCATTTCTATAACACAACGTTACTTGTCTTCACTTTCACAGCTGTAGAAGAGAAGCGCCTATTATATGCCTCACTGAAGGCGTGGATGGAAAATACATGTATCCAGTTTATACGTGCCCGCCCTTCTGATAAAGACGTTCTCAGCATCCAGAACGGCCAGGGGTAAGTCAAATCATCATAATCATCATCATTTTCATCGTCGTCGACGTCGTCATCGTCATCTTCATCATCATCATCAGCAGCGCCATCATGATCGTCATTGTTTAATCCATTTCATAATCATAATCACCGTCATCATTATAATTATCATATTCGTATGTTTTATTACATGAGACGTCATGGTCATTGCTGTTGTTGTTTGTTGCTATGGATATGGACTGGTATTTCTTATTTGCCTTATCTACAAAATATTGCATTCATTAAAATTGTTTCAAACACTCCTTGTGTACATAAATTATAATGACTGTTTCGTTATGGCTCCGGCTCCAACACTGCCCCATATTGTACCAAATATGGTGTCTCACCTGCAGATGCAACTCTTTCGTTGGTCGCGTTGGAGGAAAACAGAATCTGAACCTGGAGAAAGGTTGTCGTGTGGTGAGTGACTGCGGGAAGTGGGACATAGATATAGCGTACTCTTTCAACTTACTTTTCTCATAGCATTGTACATTTGAAATGAAGGGGAGTCAACTCTGTATGAGACAATTTGCAGAGTTGCCTCCCCCAGTCACATAGATCTCAGTGGCGAGACGAAAGAGCGCAAACATGAACGTGTATTGTACTTAAGGGAAAGAAGATGTTATGCTGTATGTAAGGTTGCCTGTATTTAACTGAATCTAGACACAAGAGATTCCTCGTTGTCTAATGGAAAGAAAGTCTGCATATGAGCGGGGTTGAGGTGAAATGGGGTTTAACGCCGTGCTTGAGAATATTTCGCTCATATGACGACGTGCATGCGTGTGTATGTGTATGTGCGGCTGCTTGTACTAGCCCAGACTTAAGCTGGTTTTATAGTGCTAGCCCACTGAGATACCATGCCGCAGTTAAGCAAGAGTACCCCACTCAGACACATTATACTGACTCCGAGCCGACCAGTCCTTGTTGTACCCATTAATGCCGAGCGCCAGGCAGGGACCAACAAGTACCATATTTTAACGTCTTTTGGTATGACGCGGTCGGGGATCGAACCCGCGACCTTCCGCAATTGAGCGGAATATAGGCGCTTATCGTGTCAAAAGATTATCGTAATATTGAAAGAGACGTCCAAGTTGGACTGACATATTTCATGGTGTACCAGTTAGTCCTGGGACATTCAAGCCATTATGTAATGTTACAGTGTTTACAAAACATTGCTTGTGTGGGACGGATTTGCGTGTTTGTCTCAACTTGGCCTCACTATTGCCAACACGTCAACCGAACGTGCAAACTCAGAAAAAAATACGTGCTATACACTTTGGTCAGTGAACATGCCTTTTTCACTTTTTGTTACTATTCTAAATATTCCTGTATTTACGCTGTCAAACATAAATTGATCGCAAAGTAGGTGTGAATCCAAGTGTGAATATATTTCTATGCCGCCTTTAGAAAGATATAGTTTGGCATGGAATGCATGTGGACCCGTTTTTTTAGTAAATATCTCTTCATCCAATGACCCAATCGATCTCAAACTGTGCAAGTGGATTTTTGTCAGACAACCTAATCACATTGTAAATCACCGCCGCTGTTACAGGTCATTGGCTCCCTCCCTCTGCAGGCATTCTGCGTTCTGCTGTTGATTTTGTTGACAGTTACATAGACAGATTCTTTAATACAAATGCATAAAATCATTGATTTACAATGTGATTAGGTTGTCTGAGAAAACATCCACTTGCACAGTTTGAGATCGATTGGGTCATAGGATGAAGAGATATTTACAAAAACCCGGGTCCACATGCATTTCATGCCAAACTATACCAGCAATGTCAAGATTGGGGACACCAGAAACGGTGTTCGCAATCAAACTCGGTTGGTTAGTTAGTTGGTTGGTTGTTTAACGCATCACTCAGCAATATTCCAGCTATGTGGCGGCGGTCTGTAAGTAATACAGCCTTGACCAGACAATTCAGTGATCAACAACATGAGCATCGATCTACGCAATTGAGATACGATGACATGTCAAGTCAGAAATCCTGACCACTCGAACTCGTTTGTCGCCTCTAACATCGACAAGCATGGGTTGCTGAAGACCAATTCTAACTCGGATAAATCACGTGTGAATCAAACTCGGAAATTCGGAGTGACACGCGAACGCATTAACCACCAGACTACCCAGGCTCCCCGAGACGATAGGTCTGTGTGATTTGAATGACTCGGACAGCCGATAGAAGTGACATTGGTGCTTCCTTCTCTTTTCCAGAAACACGTGATGACCCACGAGCTGGGTCACGTGATCGGACTCATCCATGAGCATCAGCGCCCAGACAGGGATGGCTACATTATTGTGGCCACGGAAAACGTAGGTGTGGGGCGCATGAAGAACTACCGGAAGTTCGACACCAGCCGGATCAGCCTGTTTGGGGTCGACTATGACTACACATCCATCATGCACTACGGGAAAACTGTGAGTGACCTTGACCTTGACTGAAAACGCTAGAAAACTGGATTTAAAGGTTACAGACGTTGTCAAAACCATACTTAGGCTGAAAACAAAATATGATACTCACGTGAAATGCCTCATCATCGACTAACCACTTCGTGTTTTTTTAAATCTCAGCAAGCAGAGACATGGGTATGCGTTTTTTCACCTGGCAGTTAAGTTCCCGTGTACGCTAATTTCGAGGTATTGCTTTGATGTGTGGTTATTGTGCCAAGTTGTAAAGCCATATTGTATTGGACCCAAACCTATACATGTAGCTATTCATCGGTTTGTTCTGTGTTCTACTGCATCTTTAGATGGAACTGTTCCCTAATGCATCTTCAGATGGCACTGTGGAATACTGCATCATCAGATGAGACTGTGTCCTACTGCATCATCAGATGATACAGTGTCCTACTTTATTATCAGATGGGATTGTACCCTACAGTATCATTAGATGGTACGCTATTTCACTACATCATCAGATGCTATCATTCCTTGCGTTATACCTAATGTGACACACTGTGTATATTATGGTCAGGCATTTTCGAAAGATGACGTCTCCACCACAATGGTAACAAGAAACCCGACGTTCCAGGAAATCATTGGGACGACCTCGAAGGTGTCATTCAAAGATGCAAAGATTGTCAATTCAATGTACAAGTGTGATAGTAAGTATTGCAGGATTTGTTGTTATCATTTGGCTGACCTTCATTTATGCATTACGTGTGATCTCTAGTAATGAGCGGGTCGTAAAAATACCCGTGAAGATCCGGGTAAGAATTGATCTCAGTAACCCATGCTTGCCGTAAGAGGCGACTAACGAGATCGGGTGGTCAGGCTCGCTGACTTGGTTAACAAATGTCATCGTAACCCAACTGCGTAGATCGATGCTCATGCTGTTGATCACAGTATTGTCTGGTCCAGACTCGATTATTAACAGACAGCCGCCATATAGCAGGAATATTGCTGAGTGCGTCATAAAACTAAACTCACTCACTCACTTACTTAAGAGGCGACTAATGGGGTCGGGTGGTCAGGCTCGCTGACTTGTTTGACACATGTCATCGAAACCCAATTGCGTAGATCGATGCTGATGCTTTCGATCATAGGATTGTCTGGTCCAGACTCGATTATTGCAGGAATATTGCTGAGTGCAGCGTAAATGTGAGATGGACATCAATTTCTTTTCAAGGCAAATGCCAGCGCAAGCCAAACTGCGGAGAGGGTTATGTGGACAAGCAGTGTCGTTGTGTGTGTCCCGGGGGCACACAAAGATGCGCCCAAAGACGCTGGCGGACGGTTCAATCAGTACCTAGAAGCACTCGATATCCTCCCACGATGCGGTTGCCTGGTTTCAGCAACACAGGGTGGGGACGCAGATACAGGCCACAGTATGAACCGCGGGCATTCCCGTCTAGGAATGTAGGATTTGGCCAATATTATCCTAGTTTCCCATATTACAGTTCCCACCATGGTAAGTTGGATAACCAAATGTCTGCTAGACAGGAATCATCACATCATATAATATAATAATAATGAGAATATTTATAACGCGCCTTTTCCAGGCTAGATATCCGGCTCAAGGCGCACTGATAATAGTCTCACGAATTATTTCACCGGGTACCCATTTTCTGCTGGATGAACAGAAGCAATGACAAAACCTTTTAATGTCTAGTTATCGTGTGTTTATTATTTGCTCAGATGAGTGTAATGTGTGTGCAGGACATTGGGGTAATATTGTGACGCAGTAAATGAATGATATCACGTCATATATTTTTCAATAATGTCCTCACTTTGATGCCAATTGAGCAAGGGGCATTTGGAATAGCAAACATGCAAATATGACGTGGTCATTCTATCCGTATGGGTACTATTGAATTGTAAGCGTGTTCCTGATTATCCGTGATATTCTGACTCGTATGCCAGTTGTTGATTTTACATGGTCAGTTAAATAATGCGTTAATATGTTATATTTCAGATGCCTACTATCCTCAATTCAAATGAAACCAAACATGTAAGTATTTACATGCAAAGGACAGTTAAGGCACAAACACAAACACACCACACCAAACACGGACCCCATACCACCCACCCACCCACACGCACGCACGCACCACGCACACACCTTAATACATATATACATATCCAGTTTACCAGAGCATAGATGTTATAATATACCCTGATCACGTCATAGGCATTGCTAATCATAATAACATGACGTCATAGGCATTGCTAAAATCATAATAACATGACGTCATAGGCATTGCTATCTGCAATCACTCATGGCCTGCAAAGATGCGTGACACCAAATAACACGAGGTGTTTGGATCAATATGATAATATGTCAAAACGTCCATGCGTTCCTTAGATACAGAATAGTGTGACTAATTCTTTGACACTGTATAGTACTAGTATAAGGCAAATAATCAGTCTGTCATTAACTTCGTGAACTGATTGTCATTGAAGGGCATTTCTTGTACATAACGAAAAATGATTTATTTCTAAAAATATTCTAATTTCCGTTTCTAAAGTTGTCGATACATTTCTTTAGCACCGTAAATTAAGTGAGTGAGTGAGTATGGTTTTACGCCGTTTTTAGCAATATTGCGGCTGGGGACACCAAAAATTGGCTTCACACATTGTACCTATGTGGGAAATCGAACCCGGGTCACTTTGACCACTAGGCTACCCTTAAAACACACACACACACACACACATTCACACACACACACACACACGTTAAGATCTCTCATCAGAAGCCCAGTTGTTCCTGAAACATTTTGAAGGCGGAAGTGAAACAGATACTTTCTGGTGTAGGTTATGAGAAATCAAAACTAGTGATTACAGTGTGTCAAGGACCTTTCTGCTTTCCCCCGCGATGTTATTTATGGAATGTTACAAAAGACGGCGTAAAACCATATTCGCTCTATATAATTAGTATAAACTGAAAAACAGTGATGAAAGTGACAATGTTCGTGCTAACTGCACATGGAAACAAACACGGAAAGAAAACTATATGTTATACAAACAAATGCCTCGTAATCAACTTCGTTTACACGTGAGTGATTACTGAGTAAGTTAGTTAGTCTCACGCCGCTTTTAGCAATATTCCAGCATCATCACAACGGGTGAGTGATAGCTTTGAATGCGTCATCCATAATCTATCACTGATAGTATCAGAACACAAAACTACAACTCCCGACATTCATATCGTTTCATTGTGTAATGAATTCAGTTTGGAAACAGTTATTCAAAACATTTCTGTGTTCCAGTGGATGTCCTTTTATCACACGACCGTGGGCATCTGGAATTCGGCGTTACTTGTTTGATTGTTGGTTTTACGGTGCAGTGTATCGATTTATGAGCAAAACCTCAAAACAGGAATATGAATAAAAAGGTTATTTATGGTTTTATTTGATTTCAAAGTTGTCTGTCGTGCTACTTGACGTACATCCTCCAGTGAAATTACTTGAACGTAATGCCCGTGAATATCCGGGTTAGAATTGGTCTTTCAACGCTTGCCGTAAGAGGTAACTAACGGGATCGGGTGGTCAGGCTCGCTGACTTGGTTGATACACGTGCTGTATCCCAATCTCGTAGATCGATGCTGATGCTGTTGATCACTGGCACATTGTTGAGTTCGGAGTTAAACAACCAGCCAATCACCTCAAAAGAAAACGTAAGTGTCATGTTAGTGCAGACGCGGATACCGGATTTTCGTTTGGGGGTGGGGGGGGATTGGGTGGGGTGCATCCCAATTCTCGGAACCCTGGGCATAAAACATGTAGTACATTTGGAACACTCTTTGGGGTGGGGGTGTGGGGTGGGGTGAGCACCTCTGGATCGGATCCACGCATGTAGTGAGTGGGCAGAGTGGGAGAGGTGAATGAGATTCGTTGAGTGAATGGAAGGGGGTAAGCAGCGTTCGAAATAATCGCCGGCCCGGAGGCCCAGCGCCAGTTGTTATTGTATCGGGCCGGCAGTTTCAAATATGTGTAGGCGATTGTGGCCTTCAGTAATTATGTCAGTTTGTTTTTCAACTGGAATCTTTCCCATAATTGTTCTCTTTATTAACGTTCGTGAATCCTCCATAATCCACCATGTTACGGTAACTTACAATTTCACTTCCTGGTGTTTCACCCTTTGCGCATAGGAATATCAACACCAGTCTTAAACAAATAATAACCTCTCTATGCGCCATAGGCCTGTCGTAACGGGATTTGGGTGTTAGTAAACCCTACTACCAGTTACCTATTAAAATGGCCGTTCCGCATTGTCAGGGGTGATGTAAGCTCAGGTTACATACTCGCTTGGTCCATGTGGAATGTTAAGTCTAGGGGCTTCTACGTCTAGGAGTTAGAGGTCTGACGACCGTGACTCCTGACTACAACATTACATTCATGTACTGGCACTCTGGGATTACAAGGAATAACTCAACTCTAGGTTCTATACTCACATAGGTTTACTCGATCCCTGTCTTCATTACAAGGTGACGTGGTCAGGACAGGATAGGGCAAGCTCTTCACCAGATATGGAACTGATCGATCGCGATGCGAACGTTCTGCTGACTTTTTAACCCGCAACACTTTCTAGTGCTAACCCATCTTTTAAGGTGTTCGAGCCTGCTCCACCCTTGTCACATGACCAGATACAATCCCTCTGATTCGTTTAAAGTTACATCATTCCATGGTCTCATGTCGTACCTCGTGATCAGAGAATTACTGTAAACTCATCGGTGACTCACCGTTAATTGCTTCTTTTAAGAGTCTTTTCTGTTCTGTTACTGACAGTTACCCTGTTCTTTATTCCTTAGTTTATTACCAAGCAGTAACAGCATTGATTCTATGACTAAATAATCGTAATTCTCAATAATGGATTTGTGATACGTTTCTTGAATAACGGATGCATTTTCGCCCTATAACAGGCCTCGCTAATTGATTTTGTAGAAACAGTGTGAAACTGTGTACAGTGTACGTAGTCTATTTTCATTTTATTGATTTGACTTTAACTAAATCGGCCTGCAGATTACACTCTGGGCCTGTAGATTTTATAGCCTGCAGGCGTCTGCAGGCCCTGATGGCCACCTGGAAAATTTAAGTATCGCAAACACTGGGGGTGAGTGGATGAAAAAGGGGAAGGAGGGAAATGAGTGTGTGGGGGAGGGTGGTGGTGTATGAGATGGAAGGGAGGTGACTGACGTGGATGTGTGGATGTATGAGTGGCGTGTTGGATAATCGAGTGAGAACCAAAACAATCTCACTACACACACATTTTGTACTATTTATTCACTTCTGTAGACGAAACCCAACTTAAGATTTATATCAACAATTTATAAATATCGTCGGATACTATTCTTTAAAATATCCAGTTTTAGAGAAAAAATGATTTCATTTGCTGATAATGATAAACAAGCTCAATGAAAAACATTAGAAATCTTAGAACTATTTTATAACCATCGCAGTTCAAAATAGAGTGGCAGTACAAATTCAACGGCAATATAATGCAAGAGCGGTGTTTTATAGGCCTATAAGGCCTTGCTTTCTCTCCCCGGGATATTCCTTGGGGACAACAACTCCATCGAAAGAGCATTGAGGTGTATAATTCAATAAAGGCGATGATTATGATATTCACTTCGAGGAACAGTAATCCAACTTGCAATTAGGCAGAATATCCAGAGTATAATGACCACACCATGGTCTTCTTGTAACCAGAGATGGAATGTGGGAAGAGAGGCAAGAATTAGCTCCCCTTATTCGCCTAACATAATACTCTCTGCGACAGATGGTTCTGGAATTGGCTCCATGCAGGACTTTTCAGATCTTTCAGTCTATGTCAAGTAGAAGTATATAGAGAACATCACTGTCCCCTTCTGAATGTCAACAATGCATTGTAATAGTAGCATTGTAACATTGTAACTATATGAATAACACTGTCGCATAACAATAGCAATAACAACAGCGATCTAACATTCACTTTGCTGGAACAGTGGTCCAGCTTCGTAATTAGGCCAAGGTTGAGTATCAAAGGGATGATCTTCCACAATTGCTGGTCTTTATTTTGTGTTCACATGTGTTGACAAAGAGCTCAGGTTTCAAATCAGTAGAAATCTAGCAACGTCCGTCGCGGAAAGTCCTTGCATGAGTGAGCATGTTTGGCAAGTTGAGCCCCGAGAGTTTTTATCGCTTCAGTCTTACCAAAAGGACATTTAGCACATGCTGTCTGACCTCAAGCACGAGACTCTGTCCAATCAGCAGTGGATGGGTACCTGGTGGGATGATTGGGTTATAATGCACTGTATCTATATATATACCTTGTGTATGAACGTTAGCGCAATACAAGTACACACATTCTTCTTCTTTGATATTATTCTTGTAGAGGTAATGGCTTCTGCAAGAACACGACCCTTTTACATCATACGTTGTTCACTTGTCACGAGGGTGACATGGGTTGATTTATCCTCTACGTTTAATTTGTTTATGTTTGTTAGGGGAACATAAACAAACATAGAAGGTACATCAACAGAACACCTCAATGTTAATTTTGAACTGTTTGAAGCACTGGTATTGGATCATAATAAGGAGTACCGGAGTTAGGCAACAGCCCATACACTACTAACACGAAGTACCAAACGAATTCCCACAGTTCGGCATTTCCACCGGGTTACACAGAGAATTTTTCTTGCTTGTAAGCGCTGTACATTGATTGGCTCAGCCAATCAGAATGCGACATTTATGTGTGAGATAAGATAAATTCATATATTCATGAATGTTCTCCAACTGTCAGACTCGGATTACACTGAAGTTCCCGAAGGCCCAGAAACATTGACATCAGTCTTGTCTCTCAGTCAGAATATAGTAACACATATACCATGACTCTGTACTGAATACTGAATACTGAATACTGAATACTGAATACTGAACACTGAACATACAGCTGCTACGTATAGTTAATAGTAATAGACATAATACACTATTTGTATAGGATGATACACAATGTTTATGATGATGCACCAGCGATAATGCTACTTGTAATATAGGTGATGACTAAATAGAATTCCTGCAAAGTGCATAAGCATTGGTATTTGCCCTCTACTTTATGACGGAATGTGAGTGGACTGTGATCAATCAGAACGAAAATAGCAAACAAATAGAACACAAAGTAGTTACTAAAATGTAACACGTTATATTTGGGATAACACATTCTAAATAAAGAACAGATTTTTAGTATGGTTACACAGTGCCATTTAGAAAGAGGTTAAATGCAACATATGTTATATTTGGCATTATAGTTTCTTAGGAAAGTATAAATTCTAGTACTTTTTTAGTTGAGCCCCATCCGGGATTCGAACTAACACAGAGTCAGGCGCCTAATCGTCAGCACGCAAAGCCAGCTGCTAATCCGCTCAGCCACTTCCACTAAATGGAAGTGGGGTCTCGACTCAACAAGTACTAGAATTTGTACTTTACTAAGAAAGTGTAATCCCAAATATAAGTTACATTTGAACACTTCGGCCGTGGGAGCCGTGCCAATTAACACTTATCAGAGGGGTACATGAAGTCCGCAGTCTAGACTACCAGTTGTCCGACTTCCATTTTGTGGAAGTCGGCGGCTGACTTTGTGTGCTGGCGATTAGGTGCCTGACTCTGAGCGTGTGAGATCGAATCACGGATGGGGCTCAACTCAAAAGTACAAGAATTTGTACTTTACTAAGAAAGTGTAATCCCAAATATAACATATGTTAGATTGTTAGTAATTTTGTTGAGTTGAGTCCCATCCGGGATTCGAACCCACACCCTCAGAGTCTGGCACCTAGCCGCCACCAGACAAAGTCATCCGTCTAACCCGTTCAGCCACTGCAGGTTCTACAAAATAGAAGTCGGACAACTGGTGGTCTTGATCACGGACTTTGTCTACACCTCTGATAAATGTAAATTGCCACTTTTTTGTTACATGTGACCATTTTCTACATGGCAATATGTTTCAAGTCAACTGACTCTTGGCAGAAACAATGTAACAAGAAACCAACGCTGTAATGTGTACAGACACTGCCAGCTAATACATCACTCAAAGTGATAAATATTGCATGTGATCCTCAAAAGCTGAAGGTCTCGTATTTGTCTTATACTCAAGAGACACTACAGAATATATTATTCTTTTAATGGAAGGTTTTGGTTACCAGAACTGTGGGGAAACGACATAAGAACATAGCTTTGCATGGTTGATCATTGGCGTCTTTAATCATCCTTAATTTATTGAAACGTTTTGATTCCAGCTGGAACACAGCTGGGTCTCTGATATTGGATCCTAATTTCTGTGTGGGATTCTGTTGTTCATAGCAAGCTGTTTTATTGAAGAGGGAGACAGTAGATAAGCCATCAAATTTC